TGACTGCATCTAGTATTAAAGACAACCAGCAGATACAGCCAATACGTGTTAATACTATGAATTCATAACCTAAAATCTGTAGTGCAGTTGCAGTCCTATCTAGATAATCAAGTAGCACTTGTGGTCAGGAATGCATCTCAATTAAGCTTAAGGATATTGCCTTCTTCAACAATCTGTCTTGCTAGCATAACAACATAAGATTAATAAAACATGCTATGCTTGGATCTACATCTTAACTCACTCAGAAAGTAGAACTGGCATAGATCATACTTTACGTGTTGAGGAAGTGAATTATATATATATTTGCAGGATTATAAGTATTTGCAGTAAATGCCAGAAAGCTTTCAAATAAACTTGAGGATGCTGAGTCTATCACAGAAAACTACAGTGCTACAGGGTCCACCCATCACAGAAATCAACTGTTCTCCCAGAACAGTGCCCTCACTCACAAAGTGCTCAAGTCCTTCAGTTAGAGTCCCCCATCTCCATAAAACAATTTAAAGTGCTGATGGAGAATTTTCTAAGTGACTCCACTTTGGAATCTACTTTTGCCTTTGGTTCAAATTAGTTTGAATTTATCAAACTAATAGAGCACACTACAACTGCCATTTGTTTCTTGACTTAAGTGGAATAACTGGGAAAAGATATAATGCTTAGATTTGAGTTACTGAAGGATATAACCTTATACTTTCCAAGATTGCCAGTTGTAAAGGGCATATCTCTGCATGTATAATGGCAAAGTGCCCAGAGCCTTTTTTTTTTTTTTTAGCATGAGTGCTTTTACTAAAAATACACATTGTTAGCTTTAATGGGAGAGAAAGAGAGAGAGGACTTAATATCCTTTTTAAGGCAGAAAAAAATATGTTAGGCATTAAGTCATCACAAATACTAGAAAATCTGGAAACCTCAGAATAAAATATTCTAAGCAACTTTCTTTTCTTTGCATATCTAACATTATACACATCCCCATGCAAATAGTATGACTATGGCAAACCCAACTACTATAACTGATGACATTGCTGCGTACTGAGCAACCATTTCCATCTTTTTTTTTCCTGAAAATCTGAGACAAAAATATTTTTCTGTAGCTGAAAGACAGCATACTGAATCACAAGCTTCCTTAAATGAATAAGCAAATAAAAGAAATCACTGTAATTTAGTCACTCTACCCCACTTTTAGAACATACAGTACCATAGCACCCTCGTCTAACAATTTAAATATCAAATTTCTCTTGCAAATTTCTCTTCCAATTGTTTGATGACTAACGTTTCTGAAAATAAGGTCTTCTGCTTAAATATAAGCTCCTACTTTTTAAAGCATTGCCTCTTACTACAGAGAACTAGCTAAATGTTGCCTCATTAAATCACATTTATGGTAATGCCATCCAAACGAAGCAGCAGTCATCACTATTCACAATCATTCAACTAAATGATTTCCCTAGATGTCCTAAAATAATGCAGCTGTCACTATTCAACATGCCCCAGTAAGAAAACTATACTGTACTATTATTCTTCAACAAAAATAATGCTATTAATATGTTCCATATAGTTCTGGAATTGAGTGCGTGTAGGGGGGAGGGGGGTTGTTGTTTTGCTTTTGTATACATTTTTATTAGTAATAGAGGTGCATATCTGTAGTTTCAGACCACATATCATTATGTTATGTTATGCTACATACTCCCAATCAGCACTATACTTTTCAAAATCCTGAAATCCACATGTGTATTTTTAAACATAATCACTTGAAAACAGGTCAACTTGTCTTCAAGACATGTAGTCAAAGACATATTCCAATTTAGGATGATTACTTGCAACAGTCATTCAGGACAGGAGGCATTTCAGTCTTTACAATAATCATGGAGGGTCTCCAAAACCCTATGTGTAGCTCAGGGCACAGACATGTAGGCAAGAATTTCCACCCTTCTGTTTCTTTCAGACAAAGGAATAGGAGTACAAGGGAAA